CCTGCGGAGATAATAACATGCACAAAAACAAGACAGAGCAAAACCAAGCAACAATATACAACAAAACAACAGCAACAAACCAATGACAAAAAAACAACAAGAAAGAAAAGCTTGTAGGTAGTTCAAGGACTATTTGTTGGCCTTTGGAGTGTTTCCAGTCCAGTCTGTTGACACACCACACCCTGGTCCCAAAGTCCACCTTTGGTATTCCCTGGGGACCTCGCCAACTGTTCCCTTGCTGTTCTGTTGCACCTCCTTAGTGTTTTGCCTTAGTGTACCGGGATCAGATCGGGTGCAATTCCCACACTGTGTCTCTGGCGTTCTCCCCTGTAGGCTAAGAGTCAGTGAGGGGCATCATGTCTCATAGTGGGGCCAGCCATGTGGTCCTCTCTGTGGACTGGCTGCTCTAATGGGAACATCATCCTCATGGCCTGGTGGGCCAGGATGTGCTCCACTCTCTCCTCCTCCCCCTTCATCTGCTCCCACGGGCTCCGATCAGATATGTCCTTCTCCCTGAGCTGCAGATTCAATGACACCCTTTGAAATAAATTATTCTGTGGGGAGGGGCAGGTGTCCTCATAGTAGTTGGGATTGGGGCTGGCCCCCCAGACCTCTCCACTGGTTCCCTACTCCACGCCAGCACGTTCACATCTTGGAACACTGGGTTGAAGTCCTGTCCCTCTTTCCCTGTGGAGATATAAACAATATCCTCCCCTTGGGTGGGCTAGTGCCCTGTGCCCCCGCTACCCATTTCTTTTTTATTATTATTTTTTTTCCATTCCCTAACTCCTTTTTAGTTGTCTACCATATAGGTTGTCTACATCCCTGTATTTGGTCTGGTCCCTGCCATATTAGCTGGTCCTACCCCAGGAATGTTTGTATGCAGTGGCTTTTTCCCTATGCTCCTTTTGCATTTTTTTTTAAAGCTTACCTCAGGGACTCATGTTGTACTTGTCCTTTTGTACTTGACTTACTTTCTTAGCATGATTTCCTCCAGTTCTTCTCATGCAGCAATGTGCTTCCTATATTCATCACTGCTTTGTAGCGATGCGAAGTACTCCATTGTATGTATATACCACAGCTTTTTAATCCATTCATCAATTGATGGAAATTTGGGTTGTTTCCAACTCCTTGCAATTGTGAACTATGCTGCAATGAACATTGGAGCACAGATATCTGGCCTTGGTTTGTTTCTTGCCTCTTCTGGGTATATGCCCAGGAGGGGGATTGCTGGGTTCTATGGTAACTGGATTTCCATCTGTTTTAGATATTGCCAGATCGATTTCCATTGTGGCTGTACATACTTATAGGTCCACCAGCAGTGGATGAGAGTTCCTGTCTCCCCACAGCCCCTCCAACACTTGTTGCTTTCTGATTTTTTGATTGGGCTATCTTTGAGGGTGTTAGGTTACCGCATTATTGTTTTAATTAGTATATCTCTTATGGCTAAAGATCGGGAACATTTTCTCATATGTTTGTTGGCCATATGGATTTCTGCCCCTGTGAAACTTTCCTTTGCCCACATCCTCAGTGGGCAATTAGTGTTTCTCTTTTTGGAAGCTAGCAAAGTATTGTAGATTTTAGTAATAAGGCCTCTGTCTGATATGTCATTGCTAAAGATACGTAAACACTTTTTAAAACTGAATTGGAATCCAAAGCATGTCTTATGCAGAGGATATTTTAGATTTTCAAGTAATCCTTTGTGTCTTTTGTAACTATAAAGAGAGAAAAGTTACTTATCCATAAAGATGTTTGCCCAATCTTATTCACTTGGATACCTATTTAAAGAGACTTCTACAGTATTTGCTATAGCCAATTGTGATATTTAAGGTTTATGTTAACTTATCTGAGCCAGAATGCTAGATAGTTTGGCCCCTAAGATATAACCAGCCCACATCATGAAATCTGATAAAATATAATCACTTCCAAGATGAGATCTGATATGAGTAGCCAATCAATTTAAAGATGATTTCCTTGAATGTGAAGCCTACTTCCAATATAAGTGGACGGTCTGGAAAATCATTCTTTCTTTTTGTTTTATTAGACCTTGCATCTGGCTCTTCTCAACTGACTTCCTGTTCTTCGAATTTGACCCAGAAGCCTGCCATACTGCCTGTTAGACCTAGGAGTCATCAACAGTCTGACATCTTACTTACCAATTTTTAGTCCACCAGTCCCAGGAGCTATGGAATTCAGGAGAAGTCTCTAGCTTACCATAGGACCCACATATTTGGAACTTGCCAGCCTCTACAATTGTGCGATCCATTTCCTTGAGATAAATCTCAGTATCTCTCTCTATATATATCTCATTCTCACTCTCACTCACCATATATACACATATATAAGATTCACTCATTTTATGTATCTATAGAAACTAGTTTACAACACTACTAATACCTATTCTACATTTATCTGGTGTTTTTCATAGCTGAAAAGAAATCATAAATCTGAACAGAAACAGCTGACAAAAAAAATAGATATCATCCAATGGGATTCTTATTGGCCACCCTCAGTAAGTAGGAACAATACAAAACTGGAGTGCACACTCAACCAAGAATTTCATTAGAACACTTCACGTCTACATGGATGAAAAAACACACAGAATGGAGCTCTGGAACTCCACCCTGGGAAGTGGCTTCATCTTGATGGGCATCCTGAAGGACAGTGGCTCTCCTGAACTGCTCTGTGCCACGGTCACAGCCCTGTATATTGTGGCACTGACCAGCAATGGCCTGTTACTCCTGGTGATCACAGTGGATGCCCGACTCCATGTGCCTATGTACCTGCTGCTTGGGCAGCTCTCCCTCATGGATCTCCTCTTCACAACTGTTGTCTCCCCCAAGGCCCTGGTGGATTTTCTTCGCCAGGAAAACACCATCTCCTTTGGAGGCTGTGCCCTTCAGATGTTCCTGGCCCTGACACTGGGTGGTGCGGAGGACCTCCTGCTGGCCTTCATGGCCTATGACAGGTATGTGGCCATTTGCCATCCTCTGAACTACATGGTTCTCATGAGGCCCAGGATCTGCTGGCTCATGGTGGCCACTTCCTGGATCTTGGCATCCCTGAGTGCTTTAGGACACACCGTATATACCTTGCACTTCCCTTTCTGCTTGTCTCGGGAAATCAGGCACCTGCTCTGTGAGATCCCACCTCTGCTGAAGTTGGCCTGTGTTGATACTTCCAAATATGAGCTCATGGTGTATGTGACAGGTGTCACCTTCCTTTTGCTTCCCCTCTCTATTATTGTTGCTTCGTATATATTAATCCTTTTTACTGTGCTCCACATGTCCTCAAATGAAGGGAGGCAGAAAGCCCTTGTCACATGCTCGTCCCACCTGGCTGTGGTTGGGATGTTTTTTGGAGCCGCCACATTCATGTATGTGCTGCCCAGTTCCTTCCACAGCCCTGAGCAAGACAACATCATCTCCGTTTTCTACACAATCATCACCCCAGCTTTGAATCCTCTCATCTACAGTCTGAGGAATAAGGAGGTCATGGGGGCGCTGAGGAGGGTCCTGGGGAAATACAATTTGCTGACACCCTCCACACTCTAGTACAAGTCTGTCCTTCTCCATTCCTTCCCTGAATAAGAGGATGTCTTCCATGAATCATGTGCTCACGTAAGACCACCAGTAATATCTGCTCTCAAGTTAATTCTAACTTGTGGTAACCCCCATGTGCAAAGTAGAACAGGCCTCCATAGGATGTTCAAGACTATAAACTTTTGGAAGCAGATAACTAGACCTTTTTTCTGAATTGCCTCTGATTGGGTTTGAACCGCCAAATTTTCTATTATTAGTCAAGCACTTAACACGTTGAGTCACCCAGGGCCAAGATCACCATAGTGGAGTGAAATAATTATAAATGTAATAACTTCAACAAACATTTAATACTATAAACTAACCATTGAGTGGTGTCATGGAGTCCCTCTATTTAGGGAATCATCCTGACACAATTGCTAAGTAGAAATAATTGTGGATTAATTTCAAAACTCAATGAAATGTACTATGAGACACAGTAGTCATTTCAGACTGACCAAACTTGAGTAGATGCTTCAAAAGAAGAGGAAGATTGGCTCTGAAACAATTAATAGAGTCCAGGAGCTGCAAAGAGTGACTCAGCTTTCTCCTTATTATATAGGTCGGTAATTTAGCAATTAGTGGGAAAGTTATGAGTTGGGCTGCTAACTGCAAAGTCTGCAGTTTGAAACCACCAGCCATTTCGAGGGAGAAAGACAGGGCTTCTATGCCTGTGAAGAATTAAGGGTCTACAAAACTCACAGGGTCACTGTGAATCACCATCGCCTCATTGGCAGTGAGCTTGGTTTACTTGGTCTTGAGTCTGCATTTGTACTTAGGAGCCATTCACATCGACTTAAGATGAAAAGAAAACATTGAGATAGTGGAAGAGGCTAACCTGACATCTTGACTTGGAAACTTTAACAGAGTCGTTTACAATTTGAACAGTTTTATGAGAATAGAAATTATTAAAATTGAATGTAAATATCCAGATTTAAAGTGGGGATTTGAGATATAATAAGTATGAGAAAAATTTGATGTGCATATTGTTTGAGTAAAAACAAAAACAAAAAAAAATAACCTTACATCTATATAAAAATGTGTTTTGAAACATCAAAATAATTGCAAAGATTTAATATTCTTGAAGTAAATATATACCCAGTATTCCTCACTTATTGACAGACCCATTTTCCAACAATTCACATTTATGACAATAGTAAAATATCTATGAATTGACCACTTTGCACATTAACAACCTATCTCTGGCAGGGAAGAACATCACGGTGACAGTTGAGAGTAACAGTGGCTGTGATGGTTAAGGTGATGTGTCCATTCGGTGCAGCCACGGCGCTTCCAGGACTGTAATCTCTATGAAAGCACACTGCCACATCTTTCTCCCGTGGAGCAGCTGGTGAGCTCCATTCACCAACCCCTGGTTCATAGCCAAGAGCTGTATGTGCCACCAGGGTTCTTTGTTGTAGATGTTGTTTAACTAATGACCACATAGACTTGAGTCTAAGCTGAGGTTTTCAGCACATTTTTAATGCCATTTTTGTAGTAAAATTAGGTGCTTCTGATGATATTCAGGTCAGCTTATACATGAGTATATACGGTGTGTATTTAACTAACTTGCTGTGTGCTTGCTGATTAAAGCTCTGTGGGTTTTTGTCATTTTACAATTGGTGGACCCAGGAGGGGAAGGGGAGAAAGGGAGATCCAATCACAATGATATAACTATAACCCCTTCCCAGGGGGACTGAATATAGAAAAATGGTTGAAGGGAGACATGGGTCAGGGAAAGACATGGAGGGAAAAAAAGATAATTTATAAATTATCAAGGGTTGTTGAGAGAAGGAGGGTGGGGGAGGG